GTGTTTTCTATTGAAGAAACGAGTCGAAACTTAATCCTTTGAATAACTCGACTTCGCTTTCGGCGCATTGAAATGGATTATAATTAATATTTTTATCATTGAATTCGACCGATTAAGATAAGGTACAACCAAGAAACTAGCACGCGAAAAGCATAGTTCTCAACTTCGGGTTTAAATTTCCATAATCCCAGCTTCCCTGTCACTCCATCAAAAATGTGTTGCCTTGGTAACTGCTAACAACTTGTGTCAATTACCGCCATTTCACACAATCACAAAATGGAGAATTCAACGAGAGAAGATCCATATGGATTGCGATCACACCGAAAATGTTTCTACCATCGTTGCCAAAGTGCGAAGTGAACGGCTGATGAATTTTCTCGAACGGATAGCTCGAACCGTTCAAACGGATGATGAATATTCAAGACGGGTAGCTGGAAGCGTTCGAACGGATTATGAATATTCAAGAACTGCTAGCTAGAGGCGTTCGAACGGATGATGAAGTTTCTTAAACGGATAGCTCGAACGGTTCGAACGGAAGATGATATTCAAGAACGGATAGCTTGAGGCGTTCAAACGGCATGCCAAACGGCATGCCAATCCAGTCGAACGATGAACGGCTGGTGAACGGCTATCCGTTTAAAAACGGCTAACCGTTCGGAACGTTTTCCCGTGAACATATGTTATCCGGCTATCCGTTTAAAAACGGCTAACCGTTCGGAACGTTTTCCGTGAACATATGTTTTGATATCTTTTACCTAAGGGGCCAATCTGGCAAAGGTCGTATGGATGGAACTAGCAATGGGACGAAACCTTCATAGCCACTAAAAAATGTCATTCCTGTCCCGGTGCTTTTAAAGTTTCATATTCTCTGGTGTTTACTTTTGTATTGTAATTTTAAAATTAATGTTCAATTTCTTTGTTTCTTGGAATATTTCTTGCGACTGCACTAATACAACAAATTTATTATTACTCAACTGAAGATTAACTATTTGATTATGGAAATTTTGCTGAATCCATAATTTAATCAGCTGGTAAGCCTCAACACTACATTGTCCTTATTCGTGATGTTTTTAACTTCAGAGTTTGGAATTTAGCTGTGTCCCTCGTCACTGCACCAGGATGTACCCCCATGGCTTTGATGTGCTTGTCTCCATTATCAGGCTGGCGCGTTGCCTCGTTTCCACCAGTATTGGAGTCATCATGTTGTCCTCCTGTGCCAAAACCAATCCTGAAGTCACAAGAAGAGCAGTCATTCTGCTGGTTAGCAGTGATGCCGACTCTTGCTTGGGATTGGTGAAGTTTCTCTCCAACCGCGTTGAATCCTTCCATGTTGCAGCGCGGCTGCAAGGAGGCCTGTGAGCCAATCAGTGTCTTCCACTTTTTACGACCAAGTGAGGTGGTGCGCTTTTTTCTATCAGTGATGAGTGAGTGTAGAGAGTGGGCATGCTTGTTGATGACAATGAATCTGAGCTGATTGCCGATCTTCATACCAAGACAGATGTTGGAGAAGGATGTGTCCCAGTAGGTTGGTAACTTTGTCTCTTGAAAGTCAAAGCCAGTTTTGCCTCCTGGAAGGATGCAAGAACTTCTGTTCCTCCAAAATTGGGAATCGTAATGGATTGTACTCTGACATTTATAACAAATAATTAAGTTTTTCTTCATTTTTAATTAATGAAATAACAGTAATAGCCTGTTTCAGGCTCCTATTCAGTGAAGATAAGCGAGCGACGCTTGACCTTTTTCAGGAAAACAGCTGCCATTTTGCCCATCCCCTTTCTCGCATCTTTGCATTGACCTGTATCCACAATAAATTTCTTAGCCAATAAATTCATACCTTATTACTATTGATCTTCATGACCGGCGTCCATCCCCCATCTCCGCATCCAAAGTCTCCCAGGTGACAGAAAACAGAAATTGGCTTTGAGTCTAGGAGCAGGGTGACCTCGCCACTCTTTTTGGATCTATTGAATAAAGTATTTCTTTAATATGAGAGATACATCTGAAATTTGATGAAGGCCATGGCTTCTATAGCCATATATTCAGTAAATGATACAAAGTACTTTCTAATTCCTCTCAAACGAGATTCAAGTGTGGAACATTATTTTATTATCATGGTTATTATTCTCAGTATCCTCATTTTCAGAGCTTTCCTTGTCCTTCTTCCTTTTCGAATTATCAGTACTATTATATTATCTTCATGTTTTCCCTCTATAGTTCTCTTCGGCTTTGTTTTTGTCTTTAAATTAATTAATTACTGACTTACACATTGCGGTCGAAAATTTCCTTACATGTCAAAGCTGGAAAAAAAAAAGGTATATCAACAGCAAAAAAGCCTTTAGGAAGAAAAAAGAACGGGGTGGTGTAAAAACATTTTTTTTTTAAGGGGAACGTTTATATGTAGAAGAGAAATATATAACGTTCAAATCCAAGTTAAAAAGTGTGACTGGTCGCCGATTAGAGGGAAGAATAGTCCCTTAGTACGAAAGTTATCGACTTCATTCATCTATGATAGCTTTGAAATTCTCCATGGAGCGATTCCAATTGAGGGCCGAAAGTAACCCACAGTTGTATTGGTTTTACTTTAGTACGCTTTGTGATTGTTCCAGATACTCACCATGCAATGCAGATCAAAGCTATTGCGACTTGGTTCCTCGTTTTTTCGTGGTGTCGGTGGGTGTCTAATGCGCACGATGAAACTGGAAGCAACGGAGCCGAGAATTTAAGATGCGTCCAAACCACTCACAGCTTCGCCGTTCGTTCTCACACCACTTGAAGTTTCAAATACACACCAGCAGGCCGCTATTTACGCAGGGTAGCGTTTACAAACCCTTTGAGCGTCTTTTTAATTTTTTTTCTCAATAGTTCCTAACAAGGCTTTTATCGAATTTTTCCATATTTTTTATTTTTATTTTTTTGTTATTGTTTTGTTTTTGTTGGTGTGTTTGTTTATTTTTCTACCAGTTTACAGAAAAGAACGTCTCATAACTGATGCCTAAACAGAAGCATTTCAAGAAACTAGGAAATACCGCAGGAAAAATATTACCCGAACGGCAGATATTTCCATCTCCGTAGTATCCTGGTTTGCATGTACAGTTGTACGATCCCTTGGCATCAGTTGCACACTGCATCAGCACTGCAGTTTTGTGTTCCTGAAGCACACTCGTTCATATATGAAAAAGCTCTTCATTAACAAGAATCTCATCACTGCTGTTAACTTTAGAAATTAACGCAGATTTAAAAGCAAAGTATGAACAACGAATGGAGACCCACGTTGGTTATCAAAGTCTGAAAATCTCCTTTTTATTAAAAGGTCATCATTGCAGATGTGAAAATAAAGTGTGTAAAAACGAATTGAGCCCAAAGAGAAATCTGACTGGTAATCTTGCAAATTTTTCAACTGCTCTCTGACCAATAGGGCCATCAAGCCAGTTACGGGGATTGATTAT